CGAGTAAATCTATAAAATTTAGAAATTCTCTAAAATTTTAGAAATTCTCTAAAATTGTCTAACTCGAGGCTCTCCGCAATTGTCTCGGCAGGAAATCCCGAAAAACGGGGGACAAAACGTCCCTCGTTCACTGAGATTTTCTAGGGGAAAACTCGAGATGAAGGAGTGGCGAAATTAGAAGAGGTAGGTAGCAGCGGAGCCCTTTCGTCCCGAGATGAAACTCCTCCCTCGCCCGTGATGTTTTCCCCGGGAAACATCTCTGCGGCGATGTCATCCCGAACCGCGGCACGTTTCGCCTAGTGGCGAATATAAGCAAATTAAACGTGCATAATTAAAGGGAGCGGATGCTCCTTGAGCCTCGATGCGGTCGGAGGAGCGGCCCTTAGTTGGCTCAGGAACGATGTAAGGATGCCGGTGATGCCGCAGCAACATCTGGTCGCTATGAAGTATAAAGAGGCACGCGATATCATCCACGGTGAATGCTTAATTAAAACCTCAACCTCGACTCCCTCCCCTCGGTCGAGGTATGCGCAAGAAGTGCTCCCGTTCGACGAAGAGCCGCTCTTTAGGAGAACCCACCCCCGATCTCGACGTCAAACCCGAGGTATCGTTTCGACCATTTTGCGAGGTCACTTGAAAATGTTTAAAAACTGAAATGCAGAGTGAAATTGAAGACAATGGGTACGTTGATCGGTGCGCGCCAAATACATTGAATTAAAGATATCTCTCGGTATTTGTTTCGGTAAATCCTGACTTTCGCTGCAACCCTTATGGGAATTGGGGATCCGTGACGGACAGCCTTTCAAATGACTTTGAGAAAATTGAGAAAAATTTGTGGGAAAGCAGGATGGACTGTCGAGGTCCCTTCGAGCCGGAAACGCCTGCGGGGAGGCCTGGGGAGGTGGAGAGGGAAAAGTTGGAAAAGGGACGAAGGGAAATCGAGTTTGGAAATGAGGGGAGAAGCACACCCTTCGGAACTGGAGGCCCAGTCCGTTTCAGTGATCCGCTGATTGACAGCTGAACCCCACTCGACATCCTGCCATGCCGTAACGCTAAAATGGCGCCCATGGCGTTCTGTCTATAATGGCGGAAATATTATATTCGCCATTCGACGCACCCCCTCGGGCTAATACTTTCCGCTTTTTTAAAAAAATTTTCCTACGTAAAATGTCGTATACATTTGGGAGATACTTATGTACTCTATATTTCATCGGCATTTTGAACTAAAAAAAAATGTTCATTGAATCAAAGAAATATTTTGTTAATTCAAAGAATTTTACTGAAATAAACTCGAATAAATCGCATGCTATATTTCTTCGGAATTTTGACAATTTCAGTTTATTTTAGTCAAATAATTATTCTCTGAGTGAACGATATATGTCTTTGGTACCATTTCAAGAAATATTTCCATGGTTCACTGATTTTTTTTTGTTTTTTTTTTCAATGTAGAATTGGAAAAGGTGCCAAAAATACGCATTCCTTAAAAAATGTTCTGAGACCCGGTAAGGCAGAATGTCAATATATATGCAAACGTCGACGCAACGATCTATCGGTACGTAAATATACAGGGAGAGCGTCGAGGGTGGAGAAGAGACGAGGGGGTGAGCCTCAGGGAAGAGAGAGAAAACTCAGAGCTTAATATAAAACTTCATTTCGCAATCGGTGGCAGGCAGAATCGAGAGGAGGGTTGAAGGATAGAAATGGCGGTGTCGTCGCGAAAGACACCCCCCGAGAAATCCATACCGAGTACACGCCTTTAGCCTAAGACCACGTGTTAGGGGTGCTCCAACATCAGCTTCCGGATTTCCTAATTTATGAAAATCCTCGTTTCGACAAGAAGCGATGTCCCGCTCGTCAAAAATGGACTCCAATATAGGAGGGGCAAAAAGTGACGGTCCATCGAATGGGGCTCAGAGGGATGGTTTTTGCCTTTCCACGTTTCGTCATATCGAAGTTGAAATAAATGAGTTATACCATCCACCTTGCGCGGCCTCCGAACTTCTCATCGTTCGTATTTCAAGGCTTTCTTCGGGGTTAAAAGGAAGGGCGAGCGTCACTCGCACGGCGGGCTACGCGATGAAACTTTTAATAAATGGCGGAGTCGATATGAAGTATGGGACTTTGACATATCGTGTGTCTGTAATGTATAGTTAAATCTGGCGACAGATGCGGCAGGCGCTTCGCCGCCCCCGCGGCGTCCCGGCGCCCCGACGTCCCGAGCTTCGGGGACGCTCCGGGACGCTTCGGGGCGCTGCTGCAACTTCTCCCCCGAATCTGCCATTGAATCGAATATTTCACCGCAAAACGGGAAACCCGGCCATGAGGTGCGCCACCTATCGAGCTGTTTTCTAGCAGCAACGGAAATATCCTCCAACCTAAAGAGTACCTCAAAATCCATGAAGTCCGTGAAATACATTTTTCACCTTGTAATTATCGATCTTGCCAAAACGCCGTCCTCGGTCGAAATTTTTCAACCTCAACACCGATCTGAAAGTACCGACAAAAATATCAATTACGTGGTACCGAAATTGGGGCTGCAAAAAAAGTCGGAGTTCCGCGATGCAACAGTCGCCTCGACAAGGGTCGAAGGGCGAACTTTTTTTGCGGAACTCCGGCGAAAGTTTTCGATCAAACCTTCTGTCGAAATGAGAGCTCCTCCACAAAGCGGATCTGGGTAATCTGTCATCGAAGCTGCCTGACCGTGTCAATGTGACACCAGCCGGTACCCCATAGGACAGCCTCGCCCGACGATGCAACCTCGGAGATGCATTCGACTATTGCACGCGCAATTGTTTCGGCTGCATCTGCGAAATACAAGATAAATTCGGCTTACTCAGCCAAATGTCCTATTTCGGTAGATTTCGCAAATCGCAGGAAACAAGAATGTGCAAATTGAAGAAATTGACTTTTGGACGAAATATATAATCTCTTTTACATTTTTCGCATCTCCATGTCGAGAAGTTTAGTAAGGAAAGGAGTTATTTTCCTAACGGATCGAGGCCTCGGGGCATCGGAGAAAATTTCATTACGCCAACTTCGTCGCGTTTCCTCGCGATAATTTACCGGATATTTATGAGACCGCTGGAGTCGTCGTTAGGAGATATCCTCGAGGATCTTTTCTACTTTCGCGAAGCCCAGCAGTTTGCCAGACAAATTTTTACGTTTCCGCAATTGTAATGCCTCCTTGCAGGGGAAAGCGCTCGCGAGAGATGGGACAGGGTAATGATGAGAAAATTTCGAGGTCGGAACAAGCACGAAGTCACGTTTAATGAAACGCATGCATTAGCAATTCAAAAAAGGCAAAGCGAAAGAGAATATTCCCAATTCCTCCAACCAATTTTTTAATAGACCAGCCCAGCGCCAATGAATAATTTAATGTAAAAACGCACCCCTACACGACTAAAATCTGAGCTTGATTAAAATCACCATACAAAGACAATTTATATCAAGCAGAACTTATGCATTCATTGCATCGGACCAGAATCACCCATCAAGTTCATATAAAAATCATTAATTTCAAGAGAATCGGACGTTCTCATGGTGGGCGGAGGGGTCTCTCAAGAGGTCCAAACGATCCGCTAATAAAGAACAAAGAGGCGAGTGCAGCGACCTCTGATCCCAGTGCAGTAGTAAAAATGAATCGCACTTGATTAAAATTGTCACCTCCACCTTGGAAGATTCCAAAGCCCTAATTGAAATTATTTCCCTCTTTTATAAATTAAACGAGCAATCCCTTCGCAATTGAAGCAACCATTCCAATGACAATCTCTCTCTATCTCGACTTATGATTTCAACGTTCCCGCTGATCCAATAATAAATAAGAAAAAAATCGTAAAGTTCTTGATAATCCTGAATCTGAAAAATCTGAAAAAAAATACCGCGTGGCGATTTTTCATTTCCCCTGGAGTCCTAGGAGTATCCGGGGCAGAGATCGGTCGCGGTCGAACCGGTCTCGGTCTCGGTCTCGGTTTCGGTCTCGCATCTCGTCTCGTCGGCGGGAGTACCGAACCGCGTGGCCGAGCACGTGACGGCGCCCCTCCCGTCGCACCGACGGCAGGCGTCCCGCCCACGGGGCGCCCCGTCTCTTTCGGGCGGCGCAGAGTCGGTCGCGCCTCGCACTCGCTTGCACTCGCGCCCGGTAAGCGGTGCTCGGTCGGCGGCTCTTCCGTTGGTACCCCGCGAGCCCTCCTCCTCCTCCGACCGCTCTCCTCCGCGGCGTCCCTCTCGCTACTGCGCCGGCCAGCCCGCCTCCGCGGAGAGGGTTGAGCTGCGGGCGCGCTACCGCGCGCTGATTGGTCGGCGCGAACCGGGTCACGTGACGCGCCCTCTGTCCGCGGCGGAGCGAGCCCGGTCGCGGCGGGAGAGAGACAGCAGTAGGCGCGGAGACACGCCGCGAAGAGAACGTCCCGAGGCGAAGGAGACCAAGGGGTACCCCCCGTGGGCCGCGCTCTTCGCCCTCCTCCTCGGCCTCCCTTCTTCATTCCGCGTACGTCGCTCGACGGGGCCCGGACGGACCGACGGAGAGCCGCGCGCTCGCAGGTGTCGCGCGAGATCGGACCCGCGGCCCCCCGCGTCGGATATATCGAGAGGTGCTTGTGCCAGCCGACCCATCGTGGACGCCCTTCCTGGGCAGAGACGAATCGTTGCCGGGGTTGGTCGTCTCGTTTAAGGTATACCGGGGAGATACCATCCGGATGTCGGAGTGGTACCCTGGAGAACGCGCGAAGGCGCACTCGGAGGATCTCGTTCGCTGGTGAGCAGGCATCGATACCCCAAGGGTGAGGGGAATCACCGGTTCCCGGTGGAATTGACGAATATCGCGGTCGACTCGGTACCGAGGGTAACTCGGAGGAGCCGGTGGGTCGAGTACAAAGTCGAAGCGCCGCCATGTCGGCGGGCCGCAGCCCCGGGGGCGACGCCGGGGCGGCCGGCCAGCGCGGGGCCCGGAGTGCCAGTGAGTGGTGACCAGCGGAAGAGGTTCCGAGTCTCCGGGCGCCTTTATGCGCGGCAAGCAGCAGACGGTGCACGAAGAGGAGAGCCGCGGGCAGCAGGCGCTCGAGCTGGGCCTGGGGGGCCTGCAACTGGCGCGCTCGCTGACGCAGTCGCTGGCCCACCCGAGGGGCCCGCTCGAGGGGGAGCTCGCGGCCGCGAAGACGAGGCCCCCGAGTCCCGCCGTCCTGGCGAACGACGGGGGTGGCTTCTGGCTCGCCTCGGTCGCCGCGGGGGCCGGGGCCGGAGCCGGACTGCCCCCGCGCGGGGCCCACCCCGGCATGGACCCCAACTGCGGCCCGGTGGGCCCCGTCGGCCCCAACGAGACCGGCTTCATCAACAGCCAGCCCTCCATGGCCGAGTTCATGACCGCGCTGCCCCAGCTTGCCGCCGACGGCGCCCTCCAGCACTCCCCGGCCCAGGGCGGCCCCATCAGCCCGGGGCCCCATCACCCGAGCTACCACCCCATCATGGACCCCCACGGGGTCCAGGACCCCTCCGGAGTCAATGTGCCCGAGTACCCCTGGATGAAGGAGAAGAAGACCACTAGGAAGAGCAACCAGCAAGGTAAGGACCTGTCCGATGACGAGGGCGCGCTACCTCGAATACCGTTCCCGGTCCCGATGGAACGTAGCGACTGTTAGCCTCTACTCCTAGGGTAGGACCCATGTACCACCGATTATTACCTCCTTTGAAGCCCGCCCGCCTCGATACCAACGTTAACCCTCACCCAGAGTGTCCGGTTCCCGGAAATTCGGGGTCCATCCGTCCCCTCGCATTGTCCTGGAACTCCACGGAAGCGTTCGGGAGCGATGATCTTCTGGGAACCTCCCCATGTGCGAGGGGCCCAGTGGTCAAGCGCTGGACCTCGGGGAAGAGGCTCGTCATTAGGTCCGAAAGATCGAGCGACGTGTCAGGGGCTTTAACCGAGGACCTGGTGGAACGCGACACCCGGGGGAGGGACTCACGCGGGAGCATTGTCGGCCTTGCCAGGACGCCTGGTTTGGGATACGTTAATGAGCCTCCTGGGCCACTCCTTTACCCGGTCCCCATCTGGAGTCCATCGCTTCCGGATACCATGGCGGTTCCCGAGGATTCGCAAACACGCGTGCCTCCGCAAATGACGGTGTATCGCTCTTTCCGAGTGACCCTTCCGGGGTGGGGCGATCGACCCGAGCGGTGGCCAGCACATGGCGGTTTCCCGAAAACCCTTTGAACCCGCCGAGATGAATTATTGTCCCCGGAATGAATCGCCCTGGCCGCTGTCGACCGCGGAAATCCTAGACCTTCCACCGCTGGGGGAATCTCGGTTCCTAGGTGGAGGTTAAAAGTTATGCGAGCCCAAATGTAGATTACCCCTCCTCTGGGGATGGCGGAGTCGATTCCTGATATTTATGTGGAAGGCCGTCGCGGTCCTCTCGTTAACCGGCCGATAGGAAGTGCGATTTATACACGCCCACTTCCGAAAGGGGGCAGACGAGTCTATCTCTTCTGCCCGATATTACCCTGGAGCCGTATTTACCTGTGCGGTGCCTGGTTTCATGGGAGTCGGGCGGATTTTCCGAAACGCTACGGGCCGGCGTGTGCCGGCGGATCCATCATCGTCCAATAAAACGCTCCATCCCGTAACGGAGACGTATCGTCGACCCGGCCGTTTCCCGCCAACTTGTTAACCATTGTCGGGCCATCGCGGCCAATAAATCCCGTGGCGGGATCCACCCTGGAATCGGGAATCCTATGGTGGGGTTTATGGCTCGGAGGGTCGCGGCGAGCCTCGGTGTCGGCGAGGACGCCTTTGGACGATTTAACGACGACGCCGGGTCCCGGCTACCCCTTGGTCGGACCCAGGGAAGATTAAGTGTTTGGCACGGAGGTTAACCAGTCGCTGGCCGGCGGTAACACGCGGAATCATCTGTAAATTGAGCGCCGGCCACTCCGGGACCGTCGGGACGCCTATAACTCACCCGGAGCTCGCCGAATGCAGGAGGTGGAGGCGGCAGGTCCAGCGGGGACGCCTCGTCCGACACCGGCCCTTATCGGCCAAGGGACGACCTTATGATTTGCGAGCCTCGTGGTCTTAGTTTTTATCTACCCCGTTGGAGACTATGGGGCAGACTAGATTTTTTAAACGATGCGTGGGATGACGGAAACTTGGGACTTGGTGAACGCGCTGGTCGTGGGGGTCAACTTCTAGGGTATGTTCTTGATCCTGATGGCCGTCCCAAATGTGTAAGGACATTTTTGTCACGTGGGCTTCCGAGGAGTGATGCAGAGGAAAAAGAGGAAAGCCGGGGAGGTCTCAAGAGTCGGATCTCACGGTATCGCGACATCTGTCGAGGCCAAACTTTCTACCGGCACTTGATCACTTTCCAACAAGTAATTCGAACGTCTTCCCCTACGTGCGCGCTAACGAACGTCTTCCTCCTGGTGTCGCCTTGCTCGTATTAAATTCCAATCTGTTAGGAGACGACGTGGCCCCCATCGGTGTGTTTTAGCAGGGGTACCGGGATAGGGCAACCGGCTGATTAGTTGAGTTATTTGCAGGGAGGCCCTCGGTCGACGTCTATGCTTGACGGTAATTCTTGGCGGCGAGCAAAAACGCGATTTCGCGAGTGTTTTTCCGCCGGCTTGTTCCGGAGGCCTCATCAGTCACCGAAGGCACGAGGAGGCGGCGGCGGACTCTCCTAGACGCCGATGTGTCAATTAATCCCTGGATCCCTGGGGATACCGCTGTTCCCATCTATACTAGGCTATCCTACCCGGTCCCCCCTCGGAGAGGCGTCCTCTAAGTATCCCTATTTTAGCCCTCCGTTTCACTCGTCCGAGGAGAGGACATGCACCGTCATAGCTGATCTAATTCTCCTTGAGGCGATGGGGGGAAATCCCCGTGAAAAATGGACCCTGGATACCGGGATGCCGGATTACGCGGTAAACAGTGAAACGGGGAAATCGGGACGATAAGAACGATACCTCCAGTGATATCGAAAACATTTGTCGGGAGAGAAAATTCGGGAACATCGGGCATTGCGGGTCTGGCTCCTGTTTTGGGGGTGGAAATACCGTAGAGGGACGATTTTCTCGGTTTATGGAAAATCAAGATTTTTTTCGAATTTGAACAGAACCCGAGCGATCCGTGGAGGGTCCTTCGGGTCCATTGGCGACGGCTCGAAACTCTCCTGGCCTTATTTTTCCTCTTCCCTCTCCGGCCGTAATCAGGATTCCTCCTCGGTGAGTAAGCACTCTCCCTATCCGCAAACGGCAAAGCGTTACGACTCGCCCCGTCCTTACGACCATCCTCGGGAACGCCGACGCCTCTCTGCATATGCTATTATTCGGGCTCCCTGCAAATTTTTACACCTACTTCCCTTTTACGAGTGACTAAAGTAACAGATATAGGAACCCCTCCTCGGCCCGGGCCGGCAGATACGAGCCGGCGACTTCACTTCCTGCCGGCGAGGAGACCATTTACATGAAATTATTATTAATGCCGCCGACCTAGAGATATGTGGGACTTTCGAAAATTCCAAAATCGGCAGCGAGCATTGCCACCCTCGGCATCTCTCTTGAAATTATTTCCCCGCGGCGGAATATTTCGGAAAGAAATTAAAATCCGTAGAATCTAATTTCCCATTTCCGAAAGATTTTCTGGAGGAATTCCAGAGTGAGAATTTTATTGTTTATCCCACATGGCCGGGATTACTTTTTTTCTTTTTTTTTATTTATTTATGGTATGCTTTGGCTGATATTTTGAAAATTCGGCAATTGGTTGGTCAGAGGATGGCACACGAATTTCTGAGCGTTACCCCTGCAGGGAATTCACGCTCGGATTCCTAAGTACAAAACCCTCCCCGGGGTCTCGGGATTTCTCGGAGAGGAAGGAAAATCGGCGAACCACCCCGCACTTTTATGGCGACCCATTTGGCGCGACAACGAGCGCGGAAACTTCTTTTAGTATCGAGCCGCTGATTCGCCCCGAAATATGCGCACGGTTATGGGGTTCCGGATTATCAATTTGTTACTGGCTGTTTATTATTTCGCGCGGGGAGGCGCGAGCGCGTATTCTCGCGATATATACTCGACGACCCGTGACTCCAATGATAATCCGGATGCGCGTTGCGTGTCGCGCGTTACGTATTACCACAAAATAAACGTCCGGTTTCGACACCATTCTCGGAACGGTCATTCAAGGAGTCCGCCGTTTCCGGGAAAATCGGAGCGGTTTAGTCGCGACTATAAATTTAGACCGAATTTCTGAATGGCGTGCGTATTTTCTACTTTTAGACGACGCGGTTTGATTCACCCAAAGAATAAGGAGCGTCGATTGTGGCGAATTTCAACGACGCTCTCGGAGAATTCCTTATAAATTTCGAACAAATTTCTGAGCAGGAGCAAAAATTGTTCTGTATTTTATTGAAAACGAGGTTTCGTTTATTCAAAGTGTAAGATGTGTAAGATGATTGTCACGGATTGTCTCTTTGGAAATTTGTCCTTATAAGCGATCGCCACGGAAACCGAAGGATCGGCGAGTCCTCGAGGACTTCCCCGTCTCTAATCCGACGAGTGGATTTACCTTCGACGAATCTTTAAATTGCACCGTCTTCTCTTTCCTTTCGAGCTTCTAAGAGATAAAGGCCACCCACTCGATCACTTGTATCGCCCAATCAACGGGTATCTCCGGGAGCTTTATACTCGCCGCCTTCTAGGAAATCGAATTAATTCCGATCGCCCCACGTCTGATCGATCCTACCGCTTACGATCGCTCTCAATCTCACGAAATATATTTCTTAAGTTGTATCCTGAACTTCTTAAAAAGTTTATCCCAGAATTTCGGGGGTCACGGTACACTTGAACACCTGTACCCATGGATTCGTAGATGTGCATTCGTCCTAATAAGATCCTTTAAAATTGATCCTAGGTCTCTTTAGAATTTGCTCGAGAAATTTGCAAGTCGTGGTGCATTGCAACACCTCCGTGTAACCGGGATTGGACAACTTGAGATGACATCAACCGGTTGCATGATTTATTATTCGTCGAGCAAGACGAAAGTGCAGATATTGCACCGGTGCGTAAGTGCAGCTAGGCGGAAAGTAATGAATCAAAGCCGTAACTTTTGTCCCCCGTGTTCAGGTATACCTGGCGACCTGTGGGTCTACCTGTATGACGTCTCGCTCGTTGATAGGAAAATCGGTTATCGGCTCGCGGAAATTGACATGCGCGAATGCAATCACGGGCTCGAGTTGTGCAACGCGGTCTTAGAAAATGTAAAGCTCGGTTCCTTGGGGCCCGGGGAGATAAGGACTGCGATTCCGCAGCGGGTGCGACGGTTTCGCATCGATCGGCAAATGTCTCCTTGCAATCTTTCCGTCCCGATGATTAATGACGTTTCCTGAGGTTACGCGAATCGTTATTTGTCGCGACTGCTCGGCGCATCTCGCTCGGCTTCGTCGTCTTCCGTTTCTTTTCTACCCCCAAATGGGGAGGAACGAACCATGTATTTCCTCCCTCAAAACATTTACAAGATCCACATAGACCCTGAACACTAATACGGGATGTATCCCGCTTTCTAG